TGCCAGATCACGAAATTTCAAAGTTAGCGGCGCTACAAATGTAATCATATTAGACTTCAAATAACAACCGTGGTATTGAATATTACTATTTAAAAAATTGAATTTAAAACAATTTAAAATCCCAAATTTTAATTCACTAAAACCTTCCACAGGTCAAATAAATTTTCTAGAACATTTCTCAATTTATAAAATCACCACTCGTGGTGTAGTCATATTCTTCATTCATCAATTGCTTAAAAAAATTTTTTTCCTAATAAAGCAAAAATTATTAGATGCTTTGTGCACAACACAAATAATAAATTGTATTCAATTCTTTATATTTAAAAAATACTTCGGGAAAAAATTTAGTAACAAATACTACTATTATTGATGATTTAAATTAATAATTTATTCTCTTTAAATTTTAACAGTAACACAAACAGCAACAGTTTATACAGAGTCTTCAAAAAAATTCAACATGCTAGTCGCATTAAGAGCTTGTTTTTCATACAATACTTTCTCCAAATTTACTTTATATATAATTATTACCACCGAAGAGGATTTGTATTAATTTAATGCCATAGAAATAACAAAAACTATTCAAGCACACCATGAAAAATGATTCAATAGAAGATACGACACCAACCAACTAGATGGCAGCACCAGTGAAGAAATCGGAAGTTTCGTTTACTTATTGATTGTAATTGAAGACCTCGGTCAGCTATAATTCTGTTTGCTAATATGCTTATATTTTTATGTTAAGTGAGGAAAAAAGAAAATAGAATCACTGTTTAAGGCGGTAAGATAAAAAAAATGTTATAGCCTATTTGGATGTCTGGGGAAATTTCAATTATTAATAAAAGTCAATTATTTATTTAAAAAAATATTTATTTATCATGATTATTTATATAATAAATAGTAATTATGGTTTCAAATGTTACAACAAAGTCTTCAAGATAGTTATATTTTTTGGTTTGAAGATTTAATAACAGAGAGTAACTTCTTTAATCAAAAGGGATTTATTTTCCTATTTCAAGAAAAGTTTTTTTCTCCTGATATTCTGTTCCGTTTCTCTTAATTAACAATAAGTGAAGTATATTTTAACGACGTGTCAGTCACATGAAAAGGAAATTTTATTTACGACGCTCTTCGAAAGGGAAGCTTTTATGTCAATACAATACTCTCCAGATGGCAGCATCATAATATGTAGTCCTTATCATTTAAAACTAACACACGTTCTGAAGCGCACAGTTGTGAAGCTTTCTACTGAAATGTTTTTCGAAAGAGGACAGCACTTAATTTCACTTTTAGATGACTTAAAGATTTGGCAATTTATATTTTTTTGGTAATTTTAATTTTCAATTTGTAGTTTTTATATCTTAACGTGTTAAGTTATGAGAACTTTTGGCTTATGTTTTTCGAATATAATTATGTTTCACTAGATTTTTCCTTTTTATTTTAATCCTTGAATGTTTGAAGTATTGTGTTTTTATTCTTATTTTGTCTACCATAATGGAACCTCGGGGTACAATAAGTTTTTAACTGAAAGGCTCGAGCAGGGTAGTGTGTCCCCTGGAAGTACTGTTTTAGCAGATATGCTAATTTTTGAAATTTCGTTTGGTTTAACTTCTTATTTTTTTAAATTGTGTACGAAAGACAATTTGGGTTTTACGCTGCTTTTAACGCTTTTCCATTTTGACTTATTGTTTTTAAAACGTTGGTCTTCATTTTTGTTTAATTCCATTTAACCGGAATTTGAGAACCATTAGCAGCAAAGAGTTTTAAGATGGACGGAGTCTTATTGCGTTCATTCCGAGAAGGTGGCAAAACAGAAATATCGGCGCCAGTGTCTACTAATAATTTAAGCCCTAAAGTCCTATCAATAACTACAAGGCGACAATTTGCATGGCCGTTGACGTTCGCCGCCAGTAACGCATGGCCGTCTAGTTTTCCTGCTTGAAACTGCATGGTTGGATACATTTGTTAGCTCTTTCACGGAAACGATAATGGTACCACCAAAGTCTATTTTTGCTTGTGGAGCGATTACGGTGTTTATTTATATTTTTACCAGGGCTCCGACCTCGGAAACGCAACACTTTATCAAGTTTTTTATTTAATTCACACACTTGAGCTTGCAGCGATTCGATTGTATTTGAATAATCGCTATCGTTTGGCACTTTTAGTTTCGTTTCCAAACTAGCAGAGAAGATTTCGTTTGAAAACGTAACATCAGCAATCCTATCCGCCATTATAGCTTAATTTATTAAGAGTATCTGATGAAGTACTTAAAATAGCTTGCATTTGTGTGGGAAGTCTTTGAAGCCATAATGATTTTAGCAATGCATCACCATCACGATCACCAGCCAAATCTTGCATTTGTCGCAGCAATGCAGACGGTCGTCTATCACCTAATGCGATTTCTTGCAAGAGTTTTTTTAAACGACGTTCTTCAGAAATACTGAATATTTCAATTGATCTTTGCTTTAAAGAATCATACATGTTTGTAACTGGAGGTGAAGTGACCTGCTATAAAATGTCCGTCTCGATTGAAGCGTCGATCGTATGATATTTTGTGCTATCTTGAGTAATTCCAGCAGTGATAAATTAAGATTCCACCTGTGAAAACCATATTGCAGAATTTTCTTTCCAAAATTGGGGAACTTTAACAGCTACACGCGTAAGTTCTGGCATTGCAGGCTCCGTTTTAGAACTGTATTTATTTTCGCCATTCATCACGTCCGGGTCACCAGTTTACCAGATATACAAGCCTATGTAATTGAAACTAATGCTTTTAGTAAATGAAATGCGAACAGTAAAAACTTAACAACTTTAATATAACATTTAACAAGTAAATAACATTCGTGGAAATAAGAGCACAACTATAGACAAAGATCGCTGACAGCTATATCCGAAGTAAAACATAAAGACTAAACTGAAACCCTTTTTGCAGAAAACTAAACTGAAACTTTTTGTTCAGTTGCCAGATCACGAAATTTCAAAGTTAGCACCGCTACAAATGTAATCACATTAGGCTTCAAATAACAACCTTGGTATTTAATATTACTATTTAAAAAATTGAATTTAAAACAATTTAAAATCCCAAATTATAATTCACTAAAACCTTCCACAGGCCAAATAAATTTTCTAGAACATTTCTCAATTTATAAAATCACCACTCGTGGTGCAGTCATATTCTTTATTCATCAATTGCTTAAAAAAAAATTTTCCTAATAAAGCAAAAATTATTAGATGCTTTGTGCACAACACAAATAATAAATTGTATTCAATTCTTTATATTTAAAAAATACTTCGGGAAAAAATTTAGTAACAAGTACTACTATTATTGATGATTTAAATTAATAATTTATTCTCTTTAAATTTTAACAGTAACACAAACAGCAACAGTTTATACAGAGTCTTCAAAAAATTTTAACATGCTAGTCGCATTAAGAGCTTGTTCTTCATACAATACTTTCACCAAATTTACTTAAATATAATTATTACCACCGAAGAGGATTTGTATTCATTTAATGCCGTAGAAATAACAAAAACTATTCAAGCACACCATGAAATATGATTCAATAGAGGATACGACACCAACCAACTAGATGGCAGCACCAGTGAAGAAATCGGAAGTTTCGTTTACTTTTTGATTGTAATTGAAGACCTCGGTCAGCTATAATTCTGTTTGCTAATATGCTTATATTTTTATGTTAAGTGAGGAATAAAGAAAATAGAATCACTGTTCAAGGCGGTAAGTTAAAAAAATGTTATAGCCTATTTGGATGT